GCAGGCGCTTTGCCGCTGAGCTAAATCCCCAGCCCCTGTCCACCCTAAATTCTTTGTCGTTTTGGCGATAGGTGCTTGCTATTTGGTCCAGGTTAGCCTTAAACTCAAACTCTTGATCCTCCTGCCTCAGCCTCCCAGAGTGCTGGGGTTAAGATGTGTGGCATCCCATCCGCTGCCAGAAGGGGGTATTTTAATTCTAGTCCAGGTTTTACTAGGAAGTCATTATAAGAGTCAGATAAAAGAGAAAAGAAACTTCTTAAGCCTATTTGCCCTTTAAAGGAAGGTACTTGTTAATATCAAATGACTAAATCTTTAACAATAAAATTTCAAGTAGTAGTCAAAATGAAACAAAGAATTTTATAGTGTATGTGGGGAATGTTTTAAAAGTTCTGTACCTCCTCTTTCCTTTTTTCTTTTTTTGTGACAAGGTTTCCTTTTTTTTTTTTTTTTTGTACCAGAAATGGAACTTGGGACTTTGTTGTGACAAGGTTTCAATATGCAGTTCAGGCTAGCCTTGAGCTCACTTTGTAGCCCAGGCTGGCCTTGCAGCAATCTTCCTGCCTCAGCCTCCTGAGTGCTGGGCAGGTGCTGTGCTGCTGAGTTATATGCCCAGCCCTCCCCTCTCTTTAAATCACATTTCAGAAGCAGTTACCTCTCATACTTAAAAGAGCTACCATTTACAAGTCTTTTCCTTTCCAAAACATTACTGCTAATTCCACAGAAATGCCGTCAGGTAGGCCCCAGTAACACTTCCATAGTTGCTAGATTTTCAGTGTGGCTGAGGCTGAGGTTTAATGAAGTCCTGAGGCCTGTCCAGTGATACACATCAGGTAAACAATAGAGATGGTTTAATCCTCTTCCTGTGACAGATGTATTTCCTGTGGCGATCAGCCGTTTTGCCTTGAACAAGACTATGATGACTCAGTTGCAGTTAGCCTTAGAAAAGGAACTTTGAAAGTCGGGCATGGTGGTGCATGCCTGTAATCCCAGCTCTCTGGAAGGCTGAGCCAGGAAAATTATAAATTTGAGCCTAGGCTGGGCAATGTGTCGACTTTGCAAATCCCTGTTTCAAAATAAAAATGAAGGTTGAGTGTAGTGGCACACATCTGTAATCTCAGCACTCGGGAGGGTGAGGCAGGAGGATGCCAGTAGTTCGAGGGCAGCCTGGGCTATGTGGTGAGTTTAAAGCCAGCATGAACTACATAGCAAGACTTTGTCTCAAGAAGCCAAATAAAAGAAAGTAAAAGGTAAAAAAGGGCTGAGAATGTAGCCCTTTAAAAAATATATTGGAGCTGGGTGTGGTGGTACATGCCTGTAATCCCAGCACTCAGGAGGCTGAGGCAGGAGGATCTTTGTGAGTTTGAGACCAGGCTGGGCTACAAAGTAAGCCCAAGTCCAGCCTGAACTGCATAGCAAGACACCGTGTCTCAAAAAAACCAAAAAAAACCAAAGTATTGTGTGTGGTGGCACACACCTGTAATCCCAGCACTTAGAAGGCTGAAGCAGGAGGATTGCCAGAAGGGTGAGGCCAGCCTGGAGTTCAAGGCCAGCCCTAAATTTGATCCTCAGGACTAGGGAAAAAAAGAATGCTGAAATGGTGGCACATTCCTATAATTCCATCTACTTAGGAGACTGAGTCAGGAGGCTCACAAATTTGAGACCAGTTTGGGCAATTCAGGGAAACTTTGTCTCAAATCCCAGCACTTAGAAGGATGAGGCAGGAGGATTGCCAGGAGTGTGAGGCTTGCCTGGAGTTCAAGCCTAAACTATATAGGAAGACCTTGTCTCTCAAGGCCATCCCCAAATATATTTCTCAAATCATGCACCTTTGCCTCTGGCTGGTTGGAGAGATTACTGTTAGGGAGATACAGGCCAAGTATTCTTTATCGGAAATGCTTGGAACCAGAGAACTGTTTTGGATTTCAAAGTATTTGCATATACATAATGAGATGTGTTGTGATGGAACCCAAACCTAAACATAAAATTCATTTATGTCCATATATATATATATAATTTGGGTGTGTGTGTGTGTTTTGAGACAGGGTCTCATTATGTAGTTCAAACTGCCCTGAAATTCGTGGAGATCCACCTGCTTCAGCCTCCCAAGTGCTAGGATTACAGGTGTGTGTCACCACACCCAGCTATGTTCATGTATATCTTATGCTCAGATAGTCTGAAGGATATTTTATACAACATTTTTAGTGCATTGGCATTTTGACTGCAGCCTATCATAGGTCAGGTGTGGAATCATATTGGCGCTCAAAAAGCTTTGGATTTTGGAGCATTTCAGAGTTGGGTTTTTGGATTACAAATGCTCAATGTGTAATTATGTCATTTGCTGGCATTTCAGGTATGATAAGGATTGGTTCATTTATCAAGAGTTAGAAATTACTGAGCCAGGCATGGTGGTGGATGTCTGTAATCTCAGGAGACTTGGGGCAGGAGGATCACCACAAATTTGAGGCCAGCCTGAACTATATAGCAAGACCCTATCCCAAAAAAGCGGGGGGTAGGGATTAAACAGAGACAGAAAAGAGTTAAACAGCCTACTTCTACTTACACAGTTGAGATGTGAGTTGAACTAGCTGCTTTTTCATAGAACACCAGTTTTTGCTTGTTTTGTGGGACAAAGTCTTACCATGTAGTCCAGGCTGGCCTTGAATTCGGATCCTCTTGTCTCAGCGTTGCAGAGAGCTGGCATTACAGGTGTGACCTCTTCATCACTTTTTCTTTCAGCATTGGGCATTGAACCTCGAGTCTTTGCACTGAGCTACATCTTCAGGCCTTTTAAATTTTGAGATAGGCGCTCACTGCTGAATCAGTAAGTTGCCGAGCTGGGGTTGGAACTTGCAGTTTTCCTGCTTCAGCCTTCCAGAGAGCTGGGATTCCAGGTGTGCTCCACTGCGCACAGTCCCTTAATAACTTTTAATGCACCTCAAGACCATAACACTGCCAGGTGTGGGGGCCACACACTTGTGATCGCAGCACGCAGGAGGCTAAGGCAGGAGGATTGCTCTGAGTTTAAGGCCAGCTTAAACTAGGGAGCGAGACCTTGTCTCAAAACAAATATGCAACACCCCCATAATGTTAACTGAAATAAATCAAGATACACGCTTAAATATCCCATGGCTTCTTTTACATGAGTAATCCAAAATATAAATAAAGAGAAAAACAAAAGATACATAATAGGAAACAGGTATTTTTTTTTCTTTTTATAAAAAGGAAAGGGACCAAGAGATAGGTGGGAGAGGAGGAAGAGGATAATAAAGGAGTTAGGATGTATTACTACCCACTGCCATTATGCATGCGATTATGTATTACAAATATGTACCAGTAAAAATTTAAGAGAGTTGATGTATGCAGGGCGTGGTGCACACGCCTGTCATCTCAGACTGTGGAGACTGAGGCAGGAGCATCGCTGCAAGTTCGAGGCCAGCTTGGGCTACATATTGCGTTCAAGCCCAGCTTGAACTACAGAGAAAGAACTTGTCTCAAAAAAAAAAAACAAAAGAAAAGTTTATGTAAAAGGATCCTGAAACCAAAAAGTTTGAGACACACTGCTTTACATGTAATAATCTCCACTATACAGACGAGGAAACTACCATTGCATTTTGTACCGGTTCCTGAAGATTTAGGATTAGTTGAAGGACACAAGGTCAGTGTAGTGCCGGGTATTGCACCCAAATCGCCTTCTCCAGGCGAGAGTATCATTGCTAAAATATTTAAACCGGTTAATGAAAAGAATTTTTTTTTTTTTTTTTTTTGAGACAGAGTTACGCTCTGCAGTTCCAGCTGGCCTTAAACCACTAGGTCTCATAGCGATCCTCCTGCCTCAGCCTCCAGAGTGCTGGGATAACGGGCGTTCACCATCACGCCCAGCAGAAGACATTCTGATCGCTGCCGAAGTCTCCAGCATATTTCACGGCTCTCTAGCTGGCTAACTACCTGCATGATCCTTCTCCGTCTGGTTTTCGCTGACGATCTGCGGCTTCCGGAATCCGAATTCCGCTGGGGAACTGTAACTCACGGGGTTCAAACTGGGGCTCTCTAGGGATTTACTGTGGCTCTAGGAATGTGGGCGTTCTCCTCCTGAGCTGCTCTTTGCAGAACTGACCAACAGTGACAACTTCTGCGGCCGGGACCCACTCCCACGCGCTGAATGACGTCCCCTGGACGCTGATTGGCTACACTCCACGGCTGCGGGCAGTGGACGCGGCTTTGGGTCTGACGTCAGCACCCTAGCGCCCCCCCGCATCCTCGCCCACCCTCCCGCGCGGGTTGTGAGTGGAGACTCCATAGCGACCCGTCTCGGACTGGGCAGGACATAGCCACGCCTCCTGGAGCTCATAGCCACTGAGAGCCCGAGCCTGCGGGGGCGGGGCCTCCAGGGCGGCGTGGATTGGCTGATTGAGAGCCGTCTCCCGCCGTGCACTGGGGTACCGGCGACTCACCCGGAAGGAGAAGCCCGGACTGGTTGTAAGGCGGTGTTGCGGTGGGAGTCGGCGCTGCGCCCAGGTGAGTGGGTGTGGGCAGGGCCCCGGGGACTGCGTGCTGCTCACAGGTGAGGGGTCTTGGGCATTTGGGTGATGGCCTTGCTTGACACCCTAGGGAAGGGGCTGTCTCACCACTTGTGATGACGGTGAGGGCTTGCTGGGGGTCCCGGAAAGGAGCCCTGACTCCAGTTTACTCTGTGTGAGGACTCTTTCCTTCCCACTCCCAGCCTTCATCCGGAAAGGACGAGGCCACGGCGCGCACAGCTTGTTAAGAGTGGAGGAGAGGAGTGGCTGTAGTTAGAGTTCGGGGACGTTTACCCCGCGGCCAGGCTGCGGGTGATGGCAAGGCGCCCACAGGGGACGCGCTGGGTTGTGGGCGCCGTTGGTACCTCCCGAGTGGAAGGAGGAGCGGGGGACAGGGGGACAGACGTGAAACAGAGCTGCGTGGTTGAACACAAGGCGTGGTCAGACGGGGGCTTCTCTACCACCTGTGGGTGTAGAAGAGCTGTTTGCTTTGATACTGAGGATCGAACTCAGCTTTCTCGCTGAGCGACGTCCCCAGACCTGGTTGTCTTTTTAGGCAGGGTCTCACCAAGTCACTAAGTTCCCCAGGCTAGGCCCGAACTTGCCATCCTCCTGCCTGGTCCTCACAGAATGCTGGGATCAAGGCTTGCACCACTACGCCTGACTGAAATTTAAAAAAATTTTTTTTTTGTCTTTTTTTTGAGACAGGGTCTCGCTAGGCAGTTCAGTCTGGCCTTGAGCTCACTTTGTAGCCCAGGCTGGCCTCGAGCTCGCAACGATCCTCCTGCCTCAGCCTCCGGAGTGCTGGGATTACAGGCGTGCGCCCCAACGCCCGGCTGAAATTAAGATTTTGAAAAGCCTTAAAACAAATCCACTTTGGGCTGGGCGTGGTGGCACACGCCTGTAATCCCAGCACTTGGGAGGCTGAGGCAGGAGGATCGTTGCAAGTTCAAGATCAGCCTGGGCTACAAAGTGAGCTCAAGGCCAGCCTGAACTGCATCATGAGACCCTGTCTCAAAAAAAGACAGAAAAAAAAAATCCACTTTGGAAACAGCAAGCAGCTGGGTTCTCACTCAGCTATTGGTGCCTGTACAGGAGTTCATTGTGAAAGCTGAGGGATCCCTGACTCTGTCCTTTGTCATCTGCTGAGATGATACAGCTAAAGGACCTCCTGGTCCTCCTGGGGCAGAACTGAGCCTTATTTTCTTCTGGGAAATATCTGTGGGAAGGGAGATGATAGAGAACAGTAGTTGCTAGAAATTATTACCTAGAGTGTAGATTTTTATATTTGTTCCAATGTTTTAAACAAAAGTTACAGCCGAAGCTTTCTGGGTCCCCTTTAAATTTAGATTTCAGCATACTGCATCTCAGGGGCTCCTGGATTCCTTTGTTTTGATGCTGGGGATTGAACACAGAACCTTCACCCGGAGCTTCGTCCCTGCTTCATTGTTTATTTGGAGATGGGGTCAGGCACATCTCCCCAGGTTGAGCTTGAACTTGGGAGCTTCCTGCTGTAACTTCCCAGAGTGCTGGGGTTACAGATAGGTGACACTGTGCCTGGCCTTTTTTTTTTTTTTTTTAAGGCGGTACATAGATACTTCTTTCTGAATGATAATGGGCTCAGAGGGAAGAACCTTCACAAGGAGGTGATACAGGGCGCTGTCCAAGTTCTGCTCAAGACCAGAGGTAGGATGAGCTTTTAGTTGCTGACTTCAGGTTCTCAGTTTGGCCAACTTCTCCAGATGCAGAGGATGTAAACTCCACTGACGGTGTGGATGACCACAGTTTCCTTGACATCATCCTTCCTATTACTACTTTTGTGAAAAGACTTCTCAGAATATTTCATTCTCTGTTCCTTTGAACTGAAAGTTTACCAAATGCTTGAAAGAGAAGAAAAAAAGCCCCCTCCCTTTTTAAAAAACCTAAGCAGGTTAGTTGTTCACAACAAATCTTTGTGACTTCCCTGGTCATAGCCCCTGGGCTGCTCATACCTGGAATACTGTGGATTCAGTTCAGGGCCCTTTGGTAGTGGTGAGAAATCAGATTGTCAGCAAGAATACTGTTGAATACGGCATTGCAAAACCGCGGGTTCGCTCCACACTGCAGCCCCATTTTGTCACCTACCATGTCGCCTTGTCTCCGTGTGCAGTGTCTGTGTGCAGAGAGACCTTCTGGGATATTGGAAGGAATTGCAGAAGCTGTTTGCTCTGCTAATTTCGGGCCGTAAATGAGCTCCCTTTTTTTTTTTTTTTGAAACGTTCTCCTTGTGTTAGCAAAACATAAAATAGAAGGGAACTCATTACACACTCTTCTGATGGTAAGGCAGAACTAATAAGAGAATGCGTTTGAAATTAATTGTGGGACTGTAACACCGAGTGGGTGTGTGGATGGCGCCGGGCGGGGGAGCTGAGAGAGTCTTGTTTTCCCAGGGGCCGGCCCAGATCATTTGTTGGCAGTACTTACTGGCTGAAGTCAGTTTTCATTTCAAGGTAAATTGGAAAGGGAAATTAAACCTTATTGTTCCGCTCTTAAGAGAGGGGACGGGGATGGAGGCGGCAGCCGGGGTGAACGCTGGGGGAGTGGTTTTAGGAGTGACAAGATTAGTGCGGTATTTTAACAGAAGGTGACATCATGGGCCCCTTTGGACTGGAGCAACCCTGAGCCGCAGCCTTCACGGTCCCCTTGTCGGAGTGGGTGATGTTGCTCTGCGTGTAAACGACCACACTGGGGGACATCAGGGCTTAAGCTTTAATGAATCTTTGCAAAGGACCTGCGCAGCTGTGGGCGCCTGGGCAGAGGTACGCAGCGGATGGCATGTCGCTCGAGGAAGTGATTACGTCGCTTGCCTCCGGTGCCAGAGAACAGGTTCAGTCGGGCAGCCTCCACCAGGCAGCCCTCTCCCCGGAGCGCTCCCCGTGCCTGACCCACCAGCTGGGAGGTGACAGTGGCTAGGAAGACAAAGAGAGGCCCCGGCCTTGGTTTTTGTACCGGCTTGGTTTTCTCAACATGGCCAGGAGGGGGCGCTGTGAAGCTCGCTTACAAAGCTTTGCTCTGGTGCTGACCAGATGCAGCAGGGCCTGCATCCCTAAGGCAAAAATGTTTTTGTTTTTTTTCTGAGACAGGGTGTCGATATGTAGTTCAGGCTGGCCTTGAACTCAATATGTAGCCCAGGCTGGCCTCAAACTCGCAGTGATCCTCCCGCCTCAGCCTCCTGAATGCTGGGATGACAGGTATGCGACGCTGTGCCCGGCTAAAGCAAACATTTTGCAGCCTGACCTGCCTTTCTGGCCGCCTCAGATATGCTCGCCACAGCCCCCAGCGTGCTCTTTGTAGAGGTGGCCCTGTAGAGGTCTTGGGAGTGATCTGAGGACAGAGGCAAATTTCCCCGGGCTTTAAGTTTGCACTGAGCTAATGTAGGGGTGTGTGTGTGTGTTGGATTTTCATTTTTTGGTTCCTCTTTAAGTTGTACACAAGACCAAAAAAACTATATTATCTGGGTTTCCCCAGGGGGTGTCTGGTAGGAGCTTTGGGGGCTTTTTCCTGGGGGGGAGGGTGATGGGACAGAGGCACAGTAATAACTGAGCTTGTCCCTATGTCCTCTGTCCCCCCCCCCCATGTTTTCTTCCAGCCGGCTGTAGGTGCAGGATGTCGGAGACCCCAGAGCAGGAGGTAAGGGGGGTCCGCGGGCCTGTTGGGAGGGGTGGGTGCAGAGACGCGGATGCAGGCGCAGGAAACGGAGCAGTGCCGTTCTTCCAGGCACACCTTGGTGGTCCCCCAAACTCCAAATGAAGCCTGGAGAGGGAAGTCAGTGGCAGCCACATTGTTGGGAAGGGACGCTCCTTTTTTTGTTTTGGTTTGGTTTTTTGGAGATAAGGTCTTTTTTTTGTTTTGAAGCAAAGTCTCACTATGTCGCCTAGGCTGGCCTTGAACTCACGGCAATCCTCCTGCCTCAGCCCCCTGAGTGCTGGAATTATAGGCATGCATCACCATGCCTGGCTGGAAGATAGTGTTGCTATGTAGTTCAGGCTGGCTTAGAACTCATCAGGTAGCCCAGGCTGGCCTGGCTTGTAGGAATCCTCCTGCCTCAGCCTCCTGAGTGCTAGGACCGCAGACATGCAGCTTGGAATATAGACTTGAGGGCAGAGATTTTTGTCTTGTTCTGCTGTCTCCCCAGTGCTCAGCACAGGGCCTGACAAGTAGTGGGTGCTTGGAAAATAGCATGGAATGGAAAGGACAAAGAAATGCAGGCAAGTTGGTGCTGAGTAGGAAGGGCTGGGTCGCCCGCTGCCCGTGGTACTGAGGGCTGTTTCTTCCCCACAGGAAGTGATCACAGTCCGCGTGCAGGACCCCCGCGTGCAGAATGAGGGCTCCTGGAACTCCTACGTGGACTACAAGATTTTCCTCCACGTGAGCACGCGTGGAGCGCGGGCTGGGGAACCTGTGGGGGTCCCGGCCTGACCCTCTGCATTGCCTCCCTGCAGACCAACAGCAAGGCGTTCACCGCGAAGACCTCCTGTGTGCGGCGCCGCTACCGGGAGTTCGTGTGGCTGAGAAAGCAGCTGCAGAGGAACGCCGGCTTGGTGTGAGTCACTCCTGGCCTCCTCGCCTCTCCGCGGGCACTGGGGGTGTAGTGAAGGCAGCTTGCAACACGCCCGGCATTGAGAAAGGCCCTTCCTCCTTCCTTGCCTTCCTCTCTTCCTGCCTCCCTCTTGCTTTGCTTTCTTTTTTCTTTCCTTTCCTTTCCCTTTTCCTCTCCTTTTCCTTTTCCTTTCTTTCTATAGGGTCTCACTGTATAGTCCAGGCTGGTCTTGAACTCACAGTGACCCTCCTGCCTCAGCCTCCTGAGTACTGGGATGACAGGTGTGCGCCACCACACCTGGATTTTCCCATTTAAAGCGAACTGTATGGATTGGCAGACACTGTGCCGCTGAGCTATATCCCTGGCCCTTGAACTGTGTGGATTGGGCAACTCTTCAGAACACTTCCTTGATCAGGGCTGGCGTGGCTGTCCAGATATGACTCTCACATGACCTGGCTGTGCCTCTGTGACTTCACAGCCACGTACCCGAACTTCCTGGGAAGGCCCCCTTCTTCAGCAGCTCAGACGAGTTCATTGAGAAGCGGCGCCAAGGCTTGCAGCACTTCCTGGAGAAGTGAGCGGGTGTCGGGGTGGGGGGCGGGATGCCCGCGGGATACCAAGCCTGCCCTGCTCCCAGAGGCCCTCCCATCCTCAGAGTTCCCCGCGGGGTGACGCCCCGTGCTGTGGTCCCTGTGTTTCCCCAGAGTCCTGCAGAGCGTGGTCCTCCTGTCCGACAGCCAGCTGCACCTCTTCCTGCAAAGCCAGCTCTCGGTGCCCGAGATCGAAGCCTGCGTGCAGGGCAGGAGCCCCATCACGGTGGCCGATGCCATCCTGCACTACGCCATGTCCAACTGCGGCTGGGCCCAGGAGGAGAGGCCGGGCGTGACCCGCCGGGCCCAAGGCGATCAGCCCAACAGGTAAAGAGGACGCTACAGGAGGGCGTTGTGTCCCACCGTTAGGGGACGCGCGGTGTCTCAGCAGGAGAGCTTCGCAGCAGGCTTGTCTGAGTGTGTGGTTCTGGCGTCCTGAATGGGAATGAGAGGAAGGGAAGAAGACATCCTCGTTTGTCTTTTTTTTTTTTTTTTTTTTGAGACAGGGTCTCACCATGTAGCCCCAGCTGGCCTTGAACTCACTACCATCCTCCTGCCTCAGCCTCCTGAGTGCTGCGATAACAGGTGTGCACTGCCACACCCACCTCTTATTTGTCGTATTCTTTATCCCATCACCATATACCGATTTAAATAATAACTTGATTGGTGGGCATGGTGGCATACAAAAAAATTTATTGATATATCATAAGTTTTACCTTTTGTTTATTTATTTATCTTTTTGAGACAGGGTCTCACTCTGCAATTCAGGCTACTCTTGAGCTCTCAGTGTAGTGTAGGCTGGCCTCAGGCTCGCAGGGATCCTACTGTCTCAACCTCCTGAGTGCTGGGATTACAGGCATGTGCCACCATGCCCGGCAAAGTTTACCTTTTAAAAAAGTGTGTAGTCCTGTAGTTTTTAGTAAATTCACAGAGCTGTGCAATTATCAATCACTACTGTCCATTTTAGAACATTTACACATTCTAAACAAAGAAAGCTGGCCAGGCACTTTGGTGCATGCCTGTGATCCCGGCTACTTGGGAAGCTGAGGCAGGAGGATTGCCAGTTCAAGGCCAGTCTACACAACTTAGACCCTACATCAGGTTTGAAAGGGCTAGGGGTAGACACAGTGGTGGTGCACATGGCTAGCGTGGTGAGCCCCGGGTGTCGTTCCTAGCACTGTAGAAACAAGACAGCAAAGGAAACCCTGTGCCTGAGTGAGTGCCTCTGTCCTCCCCTCTGGTGACTCTGACCTCCCTGTGACATCACACACACAGGATATGTGGGGGAGCCAGGGATGGTGGCCCACAGCTCTCATCCCAGCACTCAGGAGGCTGAGCCAGGAGGATCACTGTGAGTTTGAGGCCAGCTTGGACTACATAGTTCAAGGCGAGCCCGAACTACACTGAGACCCTGCCTTGGAAAAATAAAAAACTGAACAAAACAGAAAAGAGACTTAGTTTTGCACTGGCTTTTCTCACATTTATGTGTGTCTGTGGTATTGAACCCAGGGCCTTCACGCTGAGCTACATGGCCCAGCCTTTTATGTTTTTCTTTTTGAGAGAGGGTCTCACTACGTTGCACAGTCTGGGCATAAATTTGCAATCTTCCTGCCTCAGCCTTCTAGAGTGCTAGGGTTACAGACATGCACCACCACATCTGGCTAGCATGTTTTTTGTTTTTGTTTTTGTATTTTTTGCAGGGTGGGTTGGGATCTTTTGAGATAGGCTCTCGCTTTGTAGCCTAGGCTGGCCCTGACGTCGCAAGGCTCCTCCTGCTTCAGCCTCTCAAATGCTTGGATCACAGGCGTGCACCACCCTACCCGGCTAGTGTAGTGTTTCTAAAGTGATCTGTCTGGACTAAGCTTAACTCTGCTTCAGGGCCTTCTGGGGCTGCATTCCGCCCCATGGCACAGGCGCGCCGCCCTGCGTGTCACGGTCGGCCTGTTCACCTCTGCCGGTCTGTGCAGCCCCTTTTCCCCCTCTCCCCTCTCCAGTTGCTGCTTTCTGCCGAGGTCAGGGAAGCGGGGCTCACCCTCGCCGCCCCCCAGCGATGAGCAGGACCACCTGGCAGTGTGGGCCCCTGTGGTTGACTCCGAGGCGCCTTCCCTGGAGGGCCCCGTGCTGCCGCCTTCCTCCTCACCACCGGCACCCTGTGACTCTGCTCGGCCTGATGAGGGACCCTCTGCCCCCCAGCCTGCGGGGCCGGCTGCAGGAGGCAACCATGCTGTACCTTTGGACACTGGCCAGTTGGATGCAGTTTGGGAAAACTGAGGTCTGTCTACTCTGAGCTCTGGTTCTACTTCAAGACGGTCAGAGAACGAGCTGGGCATGGGGCACATGCTTGTCATCCTGGCACCTGGGAGGCTGAGGCAGGAGGATCTCTACGAGCTCAAGGCCAACCTGGGCTACATAGCAAGAGCCTGTTGCAGAAGCCCTTCCATAAAAAAAGACAGTTGGAGAAGATGCAGGCGGTGACTGGTTCCAGTGGGTGGGGACGTTAGTTTGGGTGCACGGTCGGTAGAGATTGTTCTCCTGACTCCTCCGTAGAACAGCTGTTATGCAGCTGTTGCTAAGTTACAACACAGGGCCAAGGGCTGCTGGCTGGGAACAGAACCCTGGATTTAGTCTCTTGGGAGCTGAATTGTGGGTGGTTGATAGAGCCCTAGGTGACTGGCTTTAGGGACCTGCAGCTTTACTGAACAAGCTGGCCTGGAACCTGTGGCCATCCTCCTGCCTCAGCCTCCCGAGTGCTGTGGTGATGGATGTGCATACCCGGCTCCTCTTTCCTTTCTGTTTTGTATCCTGGGCATTGGGCCTAGGGCTGCTCCCCACATCCCTACCCTTTATTTTTTTATTCGAGCCAGCGCCTCTGGAGTTGCCTAAGCTGCCCTTGAACCCGTGACCCTCCTGTCTCAGCCCTGTGTTCCTCGGCAGCTGGGCCCTGCCTGCCTCCTTTATTGGAGCAGACCGCTTCCCCTCCTTGCTTTTCCTGCCTCACTGCTCCGGGACTTCCGCCAGCGGAGTGGGCCGGGAGCCGCCACAGTGCGGTGCATCGGAGGGAGAGATGCGCTTCCTCGCAGCTGGGGGGTGCGCAGCTGCCCGGGCTTTGTCTCAGAGGAGCGCGGTTCTTCCTGCAGGGCTAGGCTGGCCTTTCTGTTCCAGACCCTTTCCTTCCCCTCTAGCAGCAGCTCTGGAGGCCACCGTGTGGCGGGGAGGCCGCATGCTCAGTGCGGCAGGCCCGGGCCAGGGCTCCACTTCCGCCTCGCAGAGCCGCTGGGCATGGGGACAAGGCGCAGAGAGGCTCCCTGCATGGCCTCTTGCCTACGGCCCAAAGCCAGCCCCCTGTTTGTGACAGAGCCTCTGTCACTCCCAGCCTCTGTCACGGGGTCCCAGTTCAGAGTTGTGGGGCTTTGGCCTGGAATAAAGTGCAAGTATTTAAGCCCGTTGTTTCTGTTTGTGTCTAACAAGGTGGAGGTCAGGGTGCCCTTGAACTCGCTGTGTAGCCCGGGCTGGCCTGAGAACTCAGTAATCGTCCTGCCTCAGCCTCCAGAGTGCGGGGGTGACGGGCGTGTGCTACCACACTGGGCAAACCCTGAGTTTCTCAGCGTGGCAATGAAACCTCAGCACGGGGCCCAGCGGCTGTCCTGCCCCGCGTGTGCCGCCCGAGCGTGCAGCCTTCCCCGGGCCGGAACCTTGTTAGGTGTAATTTACCTGCCCTGTCGCCCTGCAGCCTGCGCGCCTTGCGGGGCCAGGTGCTGAACGCGAGATAAAGTTTGTCAACAGGCAGATGGGGAGCCGGGGCTGGCGCGCGCCCCTCTCTCCTGCCCGCCTCCCCTGGGCCTCTCCTTCATCTGATGCAGCCGAGCAAAGCGAGGCTCGAAAACCCACAGTGGCAAATCCAAAATGTCAAAGGAAGTTCATTTAAGAGGGGGGAAAAACCCCACACGCAGCCCTCGCGAAAACGCGACAGATGCTCCGCTAATGGCATCCGGGCCGCCGATTGGTGGGGGCGGCTCATGAATATTAATGATCCCAGGGCTCCAAATGGTGCAGCTGTGAACCCAGCTGTGCGCAGCTCTCTGATCTCGAAACTTCCAGACAGGAGCCAGGGGTGGTCCGCGGCAATTCCCTACTCAGCCAAAAAACAGCGCGCGCACTCGGCCGCTTCCGCCCGCCCCTCTCCGCCCGAGTCGCCCGACAGCAGGCGCCACGCAGACACGGCTGTGATTTTCCTGACTCCCGGCTTTTTTAACGATCGATTAGCAGCTCGCGCTGCAGCTCCGCGCCCCTCCGAGCCGCCCGGTGCTGTGCTGAGTTGCGGGTCAGTCGCGTCCAGGGAAGGCAGGGCTTTGCTATGAACTTCCCCCTGTGAGCCCCCCAAGGTCCCCAGGTGTCCTTAGGTCCGGGGGACCCCGCGGGAGTGGCCCACCCAGCCAGGTTGTAGAATGAAAGCATTTAGAGGCTAGATAGTGGAGCTTGAGGCTTGCTGCAGTCACCCTTCTTTGAGACGTGTCTTGTAGTCCAGGTTGGCCTACAGCTCACAGCAACCCTCCTGCCTCAGCCTTCCCAGTGCTGGGTATCACAGGCCTGTCCCACTGCGGATGGCCTCCCCATCTTTGTCCCGACAGCTATGCCCATGGCCTACATCTTGTCATCTGTTACTGGGGGTACTAATGGAACGTGGGAGGGCGTGGGGTGTTCCACAGTGAGGGATGTCTGTGTAGGGTAAGCTTTGATTTTCTTACATAAGGAGAGTAACTTTGTATGCATTTATCAGACCCCAGGTGAGGAGGGTAAGCAGGTTTTACACCATTTTCCAACTGAGAGGCCGGGTGGTGGCGCATATCTGTAATCTCAGCACTGGGGAGGCTGAGGCAGGAGGATCACTGAGGGTTCGAGGCCAGCCTGGGCTACATAGGAAGCACTCGTCTCAAAAACACAAAAACAAAGCATGTTTTTAGATGACCAGAGTATATTCTCATGAGAGGTACTTAAACTCTGAGACAAATTTTTCTTTCCCCCCAAATTTTTTTAAAGTTAAACCCACCATTACACTCAAGAGAAAAAAACCCTCCTGTAGTGGTTTTTGGGGTTGTTCTTAGGAATAGGAGCTTGCTCACAGTTCTTAGTTCCTGATTTTGGAGGCCTTAGGCCAACACCACTGAGTCCAAGGCACCTCTTGCCCTATGTGGTCACTTTTCTGTGGGAGATGGGGACCCGCAACCATTGGGTTGGGCACTAAGTTAGATTTTTTTTTTGAGATAAGGCCTTGCTGTGTAGCCCAGGCTGGCCCCAACTCACAACCATCCTCCTGTGTTAGCCTCCCAAGTGCTCGGATGACAGGTGTGGGCCAATGTGCCCAGGTCTTTTGGTGAATATTTATTCATTCGTTGTGGTACAGGGGGTTGAATCCAAGCCTTTTGTCTTAAGTTACATCCCCAACTTTTTTTTTTTTTTTTGTCTTTTTGAGACAGGGTCTTGCTATGCAGTTCAGGCTGGACTTGAGCTCACTAGTAGTCCAGGCTGGCCTTGAATTTGCAGTGATCCTCCTGCCTCAGCCTCCCAAGTGCTGGGATTACAAGCATGCACCACCATGCCTGGCTCCCAACCCTTTTTATTCTTTATTTCGGGACAAATTCTTACTAAGTTGCAAGGTTGCCTAAACTGAGCTTTGAACTTGTGATCCTCCTGCCTCAGCCTCTCTGAGTGTTGGGATTTCAGGCCTGTGCCACCACACGGGGCTTGCTGAATATTTTTAACAATTTGAGGTGGGTAGAGCGTGGTCAGTGAGCCCAAAGGATGCCATGGGCCTTAGGGACAGAAGTGGAACTCCATCTGCCCTAGCTGCCTCCCGAGGGTGGCAGGAACATTAAATCAGAGCTGGAGCTGCCTTGGTGAATTCACCTGAGAGTAGCCTGTGGGTTGCCATACCTTGAATGCACTTCACCTGCCACAGGGATCCAGTTCTGTAGAAGCCACATGGCCTCTGAACTAGGGGTGGCTGTCAGCCTTCCCACCTTCTTTCTGCAAGATTTCTTTGACTTTCTGGTTTGGTGTTTTGTGCTGCTGGAGATGAAACCTAGGGCCTTGCACATGCTGGCCAAAGGCTTAACCACTGAACGACATCCCTAGTCTTTTTAAAAAATGTTGAGACAGGTTCTAAATTGCCCAACTTGGCCTGGAACTTGTGACCCGCCTGCCTCAGCTTCCTGAATAACTGGGATTGCACCACTCCTGGCCCAACTCACTTGGAAGCCCTCCCCTCCCCTCATTGTCCCTCAACTTCCTGTCCCAGCTGCCCTTTACGGAATGGATCTGGGAACGGCTGCAGAGACCCACTGTGCATGTGGCTTACCAGCAGGGTGCTAGGAACCAATGCTAAAGTCAAGGAGAAATAACTTCTTGAGGGAGAAACAGTTCTGCCTCAGCCCTGCCTGGATCAAGAGCAAAAAAAGACCTCAAATCTCAAGGTCTAATACACACATCTTTTTCCTTCTTCTTTTTTTTTTTTTTTTTCCCTTTTTTTTCTGAGATGCAGTCTTGCTATGTAGCCCAGGCTGGCCTTGAACTCCCAGGGATTCTCCTGCCTCAGCCTCCTGAGTGCTAGGATTACAGGCATGCACCACCACGAACCACCTTTCACTGGGAAATTTCTAAGGTTTTTCTCCTGGGCTGGCAGGAGCACAGATGCTTCTGTAGTCTTTGCATAAGGGGAAGCCCCCAAGCCCAGATTTTCTACGTGGCAAAGCAATTATGTCCCTCTTTCTCCCCTTGCAAACCGGAGGCTGGAAGGACCGCCAGCCAGCTCCTTCCGTGCCGCCCTAACCCAAGTGCCCCTTGCCCTGGCGGCTCTGCCGGTGCGGGGAGTTGGGGCCCCCTAGCAGAAGGCTCTGTGGTGGACGGTGCAACCTGCCGGCTGGGAGCTGCAGACTTGGCCGGACCCTGCCAATTAGGGCGCATCTGCTGCGGGCTGCGCGGTGCTGGCTCTTTAAGGCCGCCCGCTCCTCCTTGAGTGATGAGGCCGGGAGCACTGGGGAGGTGGCTGCTGATTAAACAGCCCTGCACCGCTCCTGGAAAATGACTGTAATTATGAGCGGTCCCAGCAGAGGGATGAGTTCCAATCCCGCTAATAACCCTTCCAGGTGCCTGCGACGCGGGCCTGGGGGACACGGCGTCGCGGGGCTCGGGCTGGCGCTGGGCTGGCGAATGCCACAGTGCCCGCAGCCCTTCGTCTGGCCTGGGCCTCCTCGAAGGCCACGGGGTTGGGGCTATTTTGTGTTAATTCGGTGTGTGTGGGGGGTCTCTTTTCTTTGAGACAGACTCTGGCTATGGAGCTCAGGCTGGCCTTGAGCTTGCCGCGATCCTGGGGCGTGACAGATGTGCAGTCCAGCGTGTGGGCAAGCGGAGCCCCAAGGTTCACACCCGGAAGCGCTGGGGTCCGGGAGCCGCACCCTCGCAGGCCTGGCCTGCCCGCCTCCAGCCGGCTTCCGGGAGGCGGGGAGTTTCCCCGAGGGCACCCACCATGCTGACGCTGGGGCAAGCAGATCCCAGCTGGAGGAGACCTGACCCCCTGGGACACTTTTGCAAGGTCTACAGACGCCTCTGTCCCCTTGACGGGCTTGGGGAGGGGAGTGGGGACCGCAGTACTGGTGCACAGTGGGCTGAGACCGGGCCTGCTGCTGCACGGTCCACGGGACCCTCGACAAGGCAGGCTTTTCTGGCTCAGTCAGTGATGCTGAGAACAAAGTCCTCAGCTTCCAGCTCTGCCCCCGGACTCGGACATGATGAAGAAATCATCTCAGACCTTCAGATGCAGCCAGGCACGGTGGTGCACGCTTATGATCCCAGCGCTCAGGAGGCTGAGGCAAGAGGATCTGGAGTTCGAGGCCAGCCCGGGCTACTTAGTGTCAAAAACCCCCAAATAAATAAAACAATAACACAATCCAGATGCAAGGTGCATCTCAGGAGCGGAGCTTGGCGTGAGCCACCCTGGTGATTCCCAACACCGTGAGGCCAGGCTGGTGGCCGGCCTGCGGTTCCGGGACGGGAGGAGAGGGGCCAGCTGCTCCCTGTCGGGTTCAGAGCCAGTGCAGGGCACCAGATGCCCGCTTCGAAGAACGGCTCCCGCAGCCCCTGGGAGCTGGCTCCGGCTGTGCGAGGCGGGGGTGGAGCACAGTTGCCCAGAGCCACAAAACGTTTCCTCCGGTGGCACCGCGCCAGGCAGTGGCAGTGTGGTGGCTCTGACGGGAGCCCAGGAGGGGGCTGAGCACACACAGCCGCTGCCGGCGGCGGGTCACCCCGGACAGCTTGGTGCCAGAGATGCCGGGCCTCGCCGAGCATCTGGGCAGCGGAAGGCAGATTGGCGAGGTGATGCCTGGAGAGCAGGCCTTGAGGGGACAGGAGTTCTGTTTTCTGTTTTTTAGAAACAAGTTCTTGCTATGCAGTTCAGGCTGGCTTTGAACTCACTTTGTAGCCCAGCCTGGCCTCAAGTCCACAGCGATCCTCCTTCCTCAGCCTTGCTCAGAACCACCATGTCCTGTTCTGGCTTATTTTTTATTTTATTTATTTATTTATTTGTTTTTGTCTTTTTTTGGAGACAGGGTCTCGCTGTGCAGTTCAGGCTGGCCTTGAGCTCACTTTGTAGCCCAGGCTGGTCTCAGATTTGCAATGATCCTCCTGCCTCAGCCTCCCAACTTCTAGGATTACAGGCGTGCGCCACCACGCCCGGCTGGCTTATTTTTAGTATGACCACTCATCCGGGTTGACAATTGTGGTTTCAGCATCATTATTAACTCCTTTCACTTCAAAAATGTCTCTCAACCGGGCTTGTGCCTGGGCGTGGGGGCGCATGCCCGTAATCCCAGCACTCGGAAGGTTGAGGCAGGAGGATCGCTGCGAGTTCGAGGCCAGCTTGGGCTACAAAGTAAGCTCAAGACCAGCCTGAACTGCATAGGGAGACCCTGTCTCAAAAAGACAAAAAAGTAAAAGATTTTTGCGCAAAAGGGGCTACATCTTAACATGTGTCCTTACCCTAATCCTGACACGTGGCCCTCCGTTCACACTAAGGAGAAAAACAGGGGGGTTGGTGAACAGTTAGTTTTTGATTGGGAAATCGGAGAACAATCTTGAATCTCTTGGAAAAGAGAAACCTCTTTCTTGCGGTGAGTTTCAGGCTCCCCTTGCAATCTCTATAAATTCTGGGGGGAAGCAAAACAGCCGGCAGGAGGGGAGGAGGAGCGACACCTGGGAGCCCACACCCCGGAAAATGGCCCGAGTCAGCGGGATGTGCAGCAGCTAATCTTCGGCTTAGCCGCCGCTGCCTCCTCAGCCAGCCCCGCGGTTGGGCTGGCGCTGTGGGAATTAACAAATCAGCTGCTCTCGGGATTTACCTTCCAGAGCACTCCCTCAGGGACCCTGCGGGGAGGGCTTTTTTTCCCTATTTTTTTAAAGCCAAAGAGGAAAGCACTGCTGTCCCTGTGTCTGAGAGTTTTGTTCTTCTGATGCAGGAGGAAGTACTTTTGTTTCCTGTTTTTCCCCTCCTTGCTTCTCATCAACTCCAGCTTTCTCAAACTGTTTGTGGATTTTTGAGACAGGGTCTTGCCATGTAGTGATGTAGCCAGGCTGGCCTCAACGTCAAGGTGATCCTCCTGCCTCAGCCTCCTGAGTGCTAGGATGACTGTTGTGCGCCCCTATGGTGGGCTCAGACTATTTCTGCGGGTGGGGCTTTCCCCTCTCCCCTTGTACATGTGTCATCCTGCGCCCCGCATTGACAGCGCTGCTTTACTGTGTGCGAGGGACTGGCGTGGAGCGCAGGCGTTGCAGCTGTCTCTCCAGAGCTGCTAACTGCAGTCAAACCAAGCGCATCAACCAGCAAAGCGGCTGGTGGAGAATGTCAAGGGCTTTTGCATCTCCTCCTCCCTGGCAGGTTTTGTGTGATTTTGGCCAATTAGTCACAACCTCTTAGATCCTCTGTTTTTGTCTTTTGCAAACTGGCTTGTTAAGGAGGCACAGCTTGAGATCAAGGCTCTCGGTGATGTATTACGTTTGGTATAAAGTCTCTGTCTCAAAGAAACAGCCACATGTGGGGGTGCACGCCTGGCACCCCAGCACTCGGGAGGCTGAGGCAGGAGGATCGCGATGAGATTGAGGCCAGCCTGGGCTACATAGCGAGACTCTGACTCAGAAATCTCGAAAAACCAAAACCAAAACCAAAACCAAAACATTACAGATAGCTGGAACAGCTCCGGGCCAGCTTTCTTTTTCTTTTTTTTTTTTTTTTTGGGTTTTTGGTTTTTCTCCGGTACCAGGAACCGAACTCACGACCTTGCGCTTGCCAGGCAAACGCTTTTGCCGCTGAGCTAAATCCCCAGCCCCAGGGGCCAGCTTTCTAAGTGGTCCATTTGCTTAGATCTTTGGGGCCAGTCTAATTTCTTTTTCCGTTAAGGTTTACCGCTGGCCGGGCACAAGTTCTGTAGGGAGATGCCCAGGACCCTTGCCGTGTGGCGAGCGGCTGTGTCCTGTGGTCTTCTCCTACCAAGGGACCGCGCCAGGGATTCCGCGTTCTGCCCTGGGAGCTGTGGCCGGGTGGCTCGTGTTGAGCTGTGCAGGGGTGAAGACTGGCACAGGGCAGCTGTCCCGGGCGCCCAGCCCTGCGGCTTCAGGGCCCTGGGGGACAGGTTGGCGGCAGGGCGGGGTCGTATGTGCCCCTTCTGCCCACCACTTTGGAATGACACCCATGGTGCCCACCTGTGGGCCGGATTGGCCGCAGGTGTCAGAAGCGCGAGGCAATTGGTTCTCGTCCGTTCACCTGCTTGTGTGCTGCCACCTAGCGGTGGCTTCTCCTTTAGCACACGGTGGCGGGCAGGGAAGGTGACCGGGGCTTCCGTGTTTCCTTTCATCGCAGATCCCAAGTTCTCTCTCCCAGACCTAAACTGGTTCGTTTTCTTACCTTTTTTTTGGAGACAGGGTCTCACTATGTAATTCAGGCTAGCTCAGAACTCACTATGTCGCCCAGACTGGCCTCGAACTCACAGCAATCCTCCTGCCTCAGCCTCCTGAGTGCTGGGATGACTCCAGCCGCGCCTGGCTAGAGTTTCGGTTTTTAATCACTATTTTGCTGCTTTTTCAGTGCATAGATAATCTGGGTGCTGGGTGCAGGGACAAGAAGGACAAAGCGCCCTGTACTAGGGGCCGCGCCTTTAAGTATTTCCTCACCCTTTCTGTGGGCCGTGGCGAAGTCTGTGGGGCACATGGGACATGGGGACATGCAGCCTTGTTAGCGAAGCGCTCCGAGGAGGAGCTGTCCAACGTGCTGACCTGGGCGTGGCTCCTGCCTCGATCGCAGGGACATGTGGTACAGAAGGGAAGGGAAAGCCCTGCGTGGTGGTTGACGCCTGTCATACCAGCACTAGGGAGGCTGAGGCAGGAGGATCGCTATGCGTTTAAGGCCAGCTTGGGCTACAGAGTGAGACCCTGTCTCAAAAAACGAACAAAGCAGAAGACGAAAAGGAAGTAGCCTAGCTGAGGGAGCTGAGGGGCCGATGGAGCCAGCGGACCCGGGGTCCGAGCTGACTGAGTCCTGGTGGACCGGGAAGTTCCCTTCTCTCCCTGGCCTTCGCATCTCTCTGGTCAGCCCTGCCCACTCTGCTGGGGACAGCGGTGTTGCGACGCTGAGGAAGGAACTCAACACCCGTGCACCTGGCGGAGAACCACATCTGGAGTTTATTTGCACTTTGCAGGCCAGGGGGCGCCCCACGCTTCCTGCTCCGAGCCCTCGGGAAGGCAGAGCGGGTGGGGACCCATTTTGTCTTGTCTGTCTATGGTAGGAACAGGAAATCTGGTGCGGGCGTGGCGGAGGGGTGGGTGCGGGGCCGCGTCTCTTCCCTCTTGTCTCACGGTGCAGTGCGCAGTCTCGGGGCAGCTAGGAGTGGGTGTAGGAGAGAGGAGGGGTCAGGCCGCGAGCAGGGGACCAAGCTCTTGATCGGCATCTCCACAGGGCAGGGAAGAGGAACGCGTCCTAAGGGAAAATACACACATTCGCGTTCATGAGTCAAAACAGGCAAGTATGCCGGGTGCAGTGGTGCAGGCCTATAACTCCAGCAGGGAGGCTGAGGCAGGAGGGGTACCCAAGTTGGAGGCCAGCCTGAGCTACAGAGCAAGATCCTGTCTCAGAACAAAGCAAAGCACAGAACCCTCTTGGTTAAGGGGCAGTTCACTGACCATGGATGGCTCCCATACCTGGGCCTCATCGATCCTCCACATCGAAGGCAGCGGTGAGATACTCCTTGGGCACGATCCCGACCAGGCTGTTCAGCTCTCCGACCCACCAGCCATACATGTTGTATTCCTGCAAAAGGGGCGGAAGGGACACAGTGGAATTTGCACCCGCTTCTGTGGATCCTTGCAGTGACGGCCCAGGCAACTCTCCTGGAAGGGCAGAGGTTGAAACAGCAGTGTGAACTAACACACCTTGGGTTATTCAGGATGAGAAAGTCATCGATAGGAGGAAAGCAAACATGTACGACGGTCATGCTGGCGGCACACACCTGCCATCTCAGCACTCAGGAGACTGAGGCGGGAGGATCCCTGTGAGTGTGAGGCCAACTTGGGCTACACAGTGAGACCCTGGCACACAAAAAAACCCATTTTGTCTTGTCTGTCTATGGTAGAAACAGGAAATCTGATGCTATTAAAGATCCTAAAATGCTTTTTAAAATTGATTAATTAATTAGTTTTGTTTTCTTGAGACCATCTCACTATGTATCCCAGCCTGGCCTTGAACTCGAGGTAATCTTCCTGCCTCAGCCTCCTAAGTGCTGGGATCATAGGTGTGTGCCACCATGTGTGGCTTCCTCGGCTTTTCTAGCCTCTGCTTCCCTTCTCTGCTTCATGGGGTTTGTTTGCTCCCAAGCAGGCTGTGGATCTCAGTTCCCGAGCGGCTCCCTCTCCAGAAGCATCTCCTTGCTGCTCTCCGATGGTGGCAGCGCTGGTGACACGGCTTACTGAGCTGTGGCCCATGCCTGTCTGGAAGGGAGCCCGCTGCGCCGCTGTGTATCTGCATGCCTTTCCCTGGGTGCCAGACCCTCGACAGGAAGTCCTGAGGGCTGGAGCCAGGCGGTTTTGTTTGTGGCTGTGCTCTTAGCATCAGCCAGGTACCCAGCGCCAAGTGGACCCTGGCACTTGTCAGGTGAGGCTGGGCGGAAATGCAGGCGTGGGAGTTTCGACTCAGCTGAGCGGTGCGGTTCCACCGGGCCAACTCCAGGGCACTCCCTGGTGATGGCCTGGTTATGGTAGGAAGCGATCAGTTGCCTTTGGGGATAGTCGCCCCATGTTCCCTAGCTACCAGGAAGTCTCAAATGCCCCAGAAGTGACGCAGCTGGGCTGATCCTTTTAAAACCAGGGGACTGCTTTTTAAAAATCTATCTTAAGTAATTGAAAGTAGCCAGATGCAGTGGTGCATGTTTGTAATCTCAGCACACTTGGAGGCTGAGGCAGGAGGATTGCAAGTTTGATTTCCACTTGGATAACTTAGTTAGACCCTGTCTCAAGATAAAAAATGAGAAGGGAAGGGATGTAGCTCAGGGTGGAAGTCCAGCATTCAACCCCCAGTACTCCAAAAATAAAACTCTAAACAACAACAGCATTATAAACCTGTCTGTCCACCGCTTTTTCCTACACCATGCCCTCTCATGTCTTCCCTCCCCCTGGCAACTTTGCTCTATAGTTTGCACTGCCTTATGGAAAATTACCCAGAATTCCTCAGCCTATGCCAGTCGTCAGCCTATGCCTATCAGGTCTTTTTTTTTTTTTTTCGTTTTGTCTTTTTGAGACAGGGTCTCACTATGCAGTTCATGCTGGCTTTGAACTCACTTTGTAGCCCAGGCTGGTCTCGAACTCCCAACAATCCTCCTGCCTCAGCCTCCCAAGTGCTGGGATTACAGGCGTGTACCACCACACCCAGATGGCCATTTTAAAGCTCATCTCAGTACAAGTTATATTACTGTCATTTTTGAGACAGGGTCTCACTATGCAGTTCAGCCTGGCCTTGAACTCACTATATAGCCCAGACTGACCCCAAATGCCTGTCGATCCTCCTGCCTCAGCCTCCATCCAGAGTGCTGAGATTACAGGCATGGACAGCCATATCAGGCTTGTTTGATGTCTCTTGATGCAAGTCAACTGGGAGGTATGAGGCGTGGTCTTCTACTGCAGGGGGCAAGCACCATCACCTTTATCACCTGCAGGGGCTCAGGTAAGGTTGGTTCCCCGGGGACATTCAGGACCCTCCCCCGGCCTTGCTGTTCACATCATTGTCCGCCTTTAGCTGCCATGCCAGGGGTAGGGACCGGCCAGCCGCCAACTCCAAGAGAGGCAGATGAGGCTCGGCGGGGCACCCGCTGCTGCTGGAGGGGAGCTCTGACCTGCTGGCTGCAGATGTAGTGGCCACGCCACACTGGTGAGAAGTGAAATGAGTGAAATCAGCTCTCCGACCTGCACAACAAAAGCGCGGGCGGAAGTGCGAAGAGGACGAGCAAGCCCGGAGCTCAATCCAAGCACCTCCAGGTCCTGGATCGGAGTCTTTTCCACGTGACCTCCCTGGGCTGGATCCCTGGGGAGCTGTGGGGCTGCAGGGCTGCGAGGTTTAAATGCATGAATGGAAAATCTCTCGCCTTTTCTCCCCCTTCCCACCCCCATGCATCGCTCTCGCCCAGTCTGAACACCGCGAGGTCTTTTAAAATAATTTCTACTTTGATGAATTGCTGGGGAGTCCACGATCGCTCATAATCAAAGGGAGAAGAATGCAAATGAGATCCGGCCGAGAACTATCACCACCAAACGTTTATTTCACTGCGCAGTGCCAAAAAGAATTAAAACAACATTAAACTCACAGCAATCATGTTTAAGCCCTCGTTTTCAAGTGCCAAATTGCACCACTCTGGATCATACAGATGTTCGTTAATTATGCTAATTTTTATTAAACCATTAAAATGGAGAGCCCTGGCTCAGCCACGCAGACCCTAGCTCTGAATGAACTCTGCTCTTGTCTAGAGGTGATAATTTACTGCACTTTTATTAAGTTGCTGATTCTTGGGTTTCAGTTCATGGGTGGCAGAGAGAACCGAATTTCTGGGATCAGTGTTTTCCACAAAGCTTGACTTCTCTTTGCCCAGATGTTCGGAAAAACTGGAAAAATACCGAGAGGCTCCCAGCCGACCTGAAATCCACAATTCCGATGTTTTTCTACCTTGCAAGTGGGGGATTTGCAGTCTCCAAGTAACCACGTTGGGGCCTTTCAATTATAAGCAGTCCCTCCTCCTGCACCCTTAAGATTTTAATGATACAGAAATGTTACCTGAAGATGCTTTAGATAAGAACCTAAAAGGTTATTTATTTTTTATTTTTTGGTTTGTATGGAGACAGGGTCTCATCATGTAGTTCAGGCTGTCCTTGAGCTCACTGTGTTAAAGCCCAGGGTGGACTCGAACTTGTAGCAATTTTCCTGCCTCAGCCTCCCCGGTGCTGGGATAAAAAATTATTTACAAAAAAAAAACCTAAAGAAGTCTTTCATGTCAGTGCTTGCTTCTTGCCACAGTCCCCTGAAGGAAACGCAGTGTGTGGTTTGCCCGCCTCACAAGTACTTCTAGGTTTGACTAAGCATCTTCTCCTGCACCAGCCTTGCCCTGCCTCCGCGAACCCTTCCCTGACAAAGAAACCTTAAGAAAAGACAGTCAGCTATTTGGAGTCCACTATGGGATGGCGGAAGCCATTGTCCTGGAGGAGCAGAACCTGAAACAGACGCGGGGCTCCCCATCAGCAACAATCAGACGTGTTTATGGGGCGCTGCGCACAGCAGGAAAAAGGATTTATGCTGCTAATCTCCATCAACATGGAAAAAAAAAAAAATCCTACCAAACCTGCCATAAAAAGAACAGCAAATTCTATAAACAAAAATCGGTATGGCCACCGAGGACGGGCCTGCCGCGCAGTGCGGCTCAGCCTCCAGCGGCTTCCTGTTGCTGTTTACGGTTCCGAGACTGCCGCGCAGCTCCTCGGTCTCCTCCCGTCACAGGGCCCTGCGCCCTGTGTGGCACTGAAGTACCCTGTCAATAGGTGTCGGGGGATGCGAGGGGGAAACCAGCGGGCGCCCGTCATAAGCCTTAAAAGAAATTAAATACCCCCACTCTGTGATGGCTGCATTTTAATTTCTCTCCTCCCCGCTGGTCCTATTTGTAGAAGCTCTTCGGCGCCTCCCCTGGAGGAGCGCAGACCCGTCCTGGAATGACCATCCTGTCTTGGGATGAGAATTCAATTTCCAGCCTCAGTGACTCCTAGGCTGTGCCAACAAAAGCAAGTCACAGTCCAGGAGGGCAGGGGCGTGGGCAGGGGGCGTGGGCCCGAGTCTGCGCAGCCCAGGCCCGGCGGCGCTCGGGTGCTTCCCCCGAATGGGCCTAAAAGGTGACCTGGGCCTCCTCCCGGGGCGAGGCCTGGACTTTTCCATCCGATTCTCACAGGGTCGATGAACCCTCCGCGGACCCCCAACCAGTCTTCCGGGGGCAAATATAATGGTCTTCATGGGCGAATCTGTACTGTGTCCCAGTGTAGACGCCTCCTACCCCTTTACATAAGAAAGTACGGTACAAGAGAATCAGGAGTCTGCATTCTTCCCAGTATTCCCGGTCTTTGGATTTTCTGTTTGTTTGTTTGTTGGGACAAAGTCTTGTTATGTAGCCCAGGCTGACCTCAAACTCCTGGCGATCCTCCTGCCTCAGCTTCCTGAGTGCTGGAATCACAGGCCTGCGCCACCACGCCTTGCTGGGCTCCTTGAGCCCTTCACCTACTGCGTACTCCCCGAGCTTGCTCATCCCTGGTAAAGCACCGCTCTCTTTACTGCACCTTAAACCTGTGGCGCCTTCCCTTAGCGTCCTCCAGACCCACACAGAGCAGGCAGCGCGCCATGCCCAGGACCCCCGAGAACCTTCCTACGAGGGTCCTTCTCTTTCATATTGGCCTGGTTCCCAAGTCTCCAAGATTCCCAGGAAACGTCTCCTATTTTTGTTCTATCAACCACTGAAGGTCACGACATCAGCATTGTAAACAAGAGACTCTCTCTTCCAGAGGACAATCCATCAGCCTTGAACAGAAGAGATCAATACACACTTGATATATGCATGGGAACCGCCAATCAATCACACAAGTATTGGTTTATGATTGCCTATTTCTCTTATTGGTGTTTGTGTATCATACATCATCATTAGTACAGACAGTACACTGGAGTTCCTGAGCAGAGTCAACTTTTTTTTTTTTTTGTTTTATCTTTTTGACATGGTCTCCCTAGGCAGTTCAGCC